TGAGCTGTGTTCACTGGCAGGCTCTGTGGCGAGAGGCCTGGCGCACCTGCACAGTGACACAACACCCTGCGGCACACCAAAAGTACCCATTGTCCACAGAGATCTGAAGGGGAGCAACATTGTATTGAAGAACCACAGCGAGTGTGCACTCTGTGATTTCGGACTGGCTCTACGACTCGACCTCTCGCTCACTGTAGATGACTTTGCCAACAGTGGACAGGTAGGAAGGAGGGGCAAAATATTGGCTCTGTTTCAAAACCTATTGAGCTGCCTTGGTGTCTGCTGCCTACATGGGTAGTTGCCTTATAAGGCAGCATGCTAGATGAAATTGAACCTCATAAGTCACTGATTTTTTTAACACTCCATGTAGTTTTTTGCTTGCTAAACCTATGACACAATACGCTGATATGCACATGTACAACACACAAAAATATTGGGTAAAATAGTGCATTTTTAATTATACTTCATTTTTACCAATAATTTTAAAGTATAAACTCTAAATGAAAATAAGTACACTACTGTTAAAAAGTTTGTGGTTGGTAAGATTTTTTTTAAGTTTCTAAAAGCAATTTCTTATGTTCAACCAAGGCTGCATTTGTTTGATTTATATACAGTAAAAAACAGTCGTCAAATATTATTACAATTTAATAAAAAAAATAAAAAAAAATAAATAAAATTATAAATGTCTTGTCACTTTTATTGCTAAATAAAAGTATTAATTAAAAAAGAAAAATCTGACAGAACCTAAACTTTTGAACAGTGGTGTATAGTTATAATAAATATTTCTTTGCTTTATCTGCTATCTTGGATTTTTGGGATGATTTATACCACTTTACATAGGCAGCAACTACAAGTGATAGAAATAGTGCCTGAGAAACAGATTTCAATAGTTTCTGCCTTGAATGAAGAATGTTGGAAGACAATGTAGTCGCCAAGAACTTGGCGTATGATGCCTGCGTAGGCAGCCCTTTAGGTTTCAGAACAGAGCCATTGACTTCAAATGTTGCATCCGTTGTACACTCAAAAAACCAACCATTCTAAACCGAATCGTTTCTAAATGTATCATCTGAGTGGGCAGAACTGCTCTGGGCACAGTGTTAATTTCTTCAAGCTTTTTAAGTGTAACGAAAGCTCAGATTTGTTAAGGTCACAGATGTAATCACATGAAACCATTGGTAATTAAATTTGGTGAAGTCTGATTTAAATTACATGGTCTGTGTTCTGTAGGTAGGGACAGCACGCTACATGGCCCCTGAAGTTCTGGAGTCCAGGGTAAATCTAGAGGACTTAGAGTCCTTTAAACAGATTGATATCTACTCCATGGCCCTGGTGCTGTGGGAAATGGTCTCTAGGTGTGACGTCATAGGAGGCAAGTAAAGCTCTCGATGGATATTTGCTTAAAAGGCACTTACTGTAAAAACATACTGTAATATTTCAAGTATATCGGTTTTCTTTTTTTAACAGAGGTAAAGAGTTATGAACCCCCATTTAGCTCAAAGGTGTGTGAACAACCTTGTATAGACAGCATGAGAGATCTGGTGTTAAGAGACAGAGGACGACCAGATATTCCAGCGAGCTGGACAGCACATCCAGTGGGTACAATTACAGTCATAAACCACAAAAACAGGGGTATACATATATATACTATAATTTTGAATAGATAGTTGCCTTCTAAGTCACTGATTTTTGTAGCACTCTACAAAAAAAACCAGTAAAAAAAAAAAACCAGTAAAATATATTTTAAAAATATATTTGTAAAAAAAAAAAAATTTTTTTTACACAGAATATATTTAATTTCTTAAATGTGTGATATATACTGTATATACACGTTTTTGTTTATACATATATGAACAAATATATATATATATATATATATATATATATAAATTTAAGATTTCAATATACATGTATATCATAAAAACAAAACTTAATATTAAATATATTAAATGTTCAAAATATCGATTTTCTCAGTAGATTTGATGTATACCCGTGCTTTTTAATTTTTTTGTCCTATGAAAGTTCAGTTATATATATATTTTTCCAAACATGAGCACGCACACACGCACACACACATACACGTCTGGTTTGCTATCCTTGTGGGGACTCTCCATAGGCGTAATAGTTTTTCTACTGTACAGACAGTATATTCTATTGCCCTACTCCAACCCTACCCCTTACAGGAAACTTTGTGCATTTTTAGATTTTCAAAAAACTTAATTCTGTGTGATTTATTAGCTTGTTTACCCGTGGGGACCTCAATTTAGGTCCCCACCATGACATGAGTCCCCATGAGTCTGTGTGTATTCAGGTTTAAGTCCCCACCAGAATAGAAAAACAGGTATATATATATATATATATATATATATATTATATATTCAGTTATATCAAATTAAGCTAAGAAATTCAAAGTTTAAGCAAGCAGATTTTTATTTGTACTCATTCATGTTTTGTTAATTTGAAATATTTGAGCAAGTTAACTCGTACATTTAATTTAACATTTAACAGGACATAATTCTGAATTAATACCTTTTTTCACCAAAAAATGGTTATAAGAATGTGAAACAAGGGTGAGTAAATACTGACTGGATTTTAATTTTGGGTGAACTAGTCCTTTAACATTGGCTGCTTTTTCAGATTAAGGTAAACACGTGTGCCTCGACACACCAGCACATTGTTGCCAAAAACACAGCCTGGCTCATCTCATTTTCCACAGAGATGGTTTGGCAGGGCTGAAGCCACTTTTAATCCTTCTTTGAGTACATTCTTCTGACTGCTAACTTCCCACCCCAGATCAAGTGCTGCACAACTCATAACGTAGAGCCTGAGGTGATTGTTTTCGTGGATCTCTAGTTTCTCTTATGGTTGTTTCATTTTGAAGGCTTGCCAGAACTGGCTGTCTACTGTTTGTCAAGGTTTGCAGAGCGGCTCTGTCCTGAATTTGAGTATGTGATTAGACACTCGTGGTAGCAGTCATGCAAAAGCATATCCACAAACTAGTCTGTGGTTACCAGGGTAACCAGAATGGATTGGCTCTGATGCTGTTTAAAAATCTTAAATCCTTGTTGTTCTTCACTATCGAAACAACTGAGCTTTGACGCCTTCAGAGACCTTAAAGGACAACAGCTAGATTATAAGCAGTGGTGTACTTTTGTTCGCCCATCTTTGCTGCATTATCATAGACACGTATTTGGCTCCACACCCTTAATGAGGTGCTCCTGTCATTCCGCTCAGTACTATCACAAGTAAACTACCTTGCGGCTATGTGACGCCCCACTCAGTGAGCTTGAGCCGAGAGTACACACCTGTCTCGCTTCTTTTCTACGCCTAAGTACTCACATGCCATTTTAAATGGTTGCGCTTGACAAGTTGTGACATTTTTGTCAAGAATATTCAGGAAAAGCCTGTCGTATATGTTGCATCTGTTTATATGCACAGCATTCTGAACCAGTGCGTATACTTGTTTGGTTCTGGAATAGATAGAGATATAACACACTCTTCAAGTGTCAGTGCTAAAAATACAAGAGAAAGTTATCTGAAGGTGTGAGAGTTAAGGTTTACCACTGAATGGCTAATATGGGTGGCTTAGTATTTAAAGGGACAGTTCATACAATTTCCTCACCCTCATGTCGCTCCTAAATGGAATGATCTTCTATCGTCACAGGGAAAACAAAAGGAGAAGTTAAGTGTGAGGAAAAATAATTGAATGCAAGTTATTAGTAACTAATAATCTAGTAAGGATGACAGAATTGTTATTATTGGGTGAACTAATCCCCCTCCCCCTGGGGTACAATGTCAAGAATTGAATTCAAAGTATATTGCTGTTATGACATTCTAGTGTATTAGTGTTTGACTGAAATTGGTCTTTGGTTTGGCTGTCATTACTAAATTATTCAACTAAATTCAAAATATCAGCATAAATTTACAAATAATTTTAGTTAGTATTTCACAATAATGACACATTTTCACTAATTAATCATTAGCAATTTTGTATTTTTATATTCTGCTGATTGCCATAATTTTACTCTGTAAGGATTCTTGTCGTCTGAGGTGAGATGGCCCATTTTCCTGATTTTCAATTTTGTTCTAACAGCTAAGCAAATATTTCCATTTATTTCCTCTAATAATATATTGTATGATGTTCCATCTTTCTGTACATGTTAAAATAATCTCTAAATATGTTACGACTTGGCAGTAAATGCCCTCTGTTCTTAAGGGAGCATCATTCCCTATATTTCATATAATCGTATATAATACTAGGAACATGTTGCCTGTCTGGTTGAGATTTTGAGTTGTGAAATAACTTGTGATGGCAGTATGTTTTATTGCCCTGGCTCAGGAGGCTGGTGAGAACATCTGCCTAATTGTTTTGTGTCATTGCGGGGCCCCATCGCATGCTCATTTTAGAATTAGCTGTGACAGTGTTTGCTCTGAGAGATACTGACATTTTGGCTCTCGCTCTACACACCTCAGTATGCGGGGCCTGCTATCACCTCGGGTGGCCTGGTGCATGCTGGCTGAATCTCCTGACAGAACAGAGAGCTGTTTTATTCAGATATACATTAGCTTTGGCCCGTGAGGCATCTTGTGTCTCATAAAGTTCTCATTAAGGGTTTATTTTGCTGGATGGGCTGGCGACCAGGGCCGGGGTTGTGGGAATGCCCACCAGAGCATGCTTTACACCATAGAGTCACAGGAGTATGAGAGACATAAAAGTCACTCTTTCTTCTTCTGGCTTGCACCGAGCATTAGCTGCTTCAGTGCCACAGGTTCACTGAGCCATAGGTGCATTCATTCACACAATGCCATCTGAACATGACGTTAGTAATGGAGTCATTCTAGATGAAAGCTGCAATGCTATATAATTCAAATTCTGTTTTAGACTGTACAATGATGCATTTTGTACCAGGGATGGAAAGAGGATTCACTATGACTTTCAGGTGGGATGGTTGATTTGTGGGCCAGCTGTCTAAACCAAATTCATATACAACACAATTACATAACGACTTAATAGGTGAATATTAGTTTTGCCATTTAGGGTATTTATATTAGTTATTTAGTATATTAGTATAGTGTTAATTACTAACTTACTAACACAGCTCTCATCTCAAAATAGTGCACTCATCACTTTACTGACAACATTTTAGGATAGGCAGGTGAGGGTAAACAACACAACAATCAAAAGAAACAATTTCTTGACAACAGTAAGACAGTAATTTTTTTTTTTGCTTAAAAGTTTTGTTGCTAATTCAAATTCATACCTATCTAAGATGCATTTGTACATACAGTAAGGTTCAAAAGTCTGAGACCACGTAAAATAACTGGGACTTTAAATAATAATAATAATTCTATTTTAATTTAATATTTATTTTATTATACATATCTATGGACAGAGACATCCAGCTATCGCTGTAGAAACACTTAAACTGATCAAACATGAAGAAAATAAACACACAATAGTGACAATATATCGTTTATCTGTGTTCTTCAAGCCATCTTGGGTATTTTTATAAGAATGAAGCATATTTATAATGCAATAACTTTCATTACTGTATAGAATACTACAAAATATTATGATTTCTGCCTCATTCTGTGCATATGGGCAATATCACACGAGCAGGGGTGCAATACGTCTGTGATTCAGCCATAGGCACTTGTTCAGAACAAGAAAGAATAAGAAGTGTCTCAAAAAACCCTTTTGTGTGTCTAACTACTTTCTTCCACCACACATTTAAAACTGCCATTGATAGTTTAACACAAGTGTTGAAGCTTTGGCAGGTTCGACGCTGGAGTACAAACTCCTGAGGACTGGAGGATGCAGTCTCATCATTCTGCAAATGAAACACAGTGTACTTGAAAACATCGCTTCATGGCAATAAGTGCCTACCTCAGTTATTGTCACTGTAATTTCCATTTAAAAAAATATTACAAATATTTATATCGGGTGCATACCCTGATTTTCTTCGCTGTACATGAATGTAAAATAATATAAAACACAACCCCAACTCTTTTCATTAAATAATAGTTTTAATGAACAATAATAGGCAATAGCCATTGTAACAGTATTAGTATAAAGTATAACAAGCAAGCAATTCAAAAGTACAAAGGCTTCACTCGCAGCCAAAACTATTTACCGTGGAACAAATAAAATAAAAAAAGAATAATGTGTGGTCAGATAAACCTAAAACATGTTTATCATGTTTACCCACTACAGAGACATCAGAGCCAGCTAATTTTCAAATAAGCACAATCTTTATAAACTGACTGCAGATTTGAACTTTAAACATCTACATTCTTGCCTAAAAAAGCTACATTTCGTGACACAAATTTTTTAATTATTTTGAAAATGTGTCTGCTGTCTAGAATGTGTAGTTATATAAAAATCCCAGTGCTGTTTTAGCGGGAGCTGATACTTGGTTCCACCATTGAAGAATAAGGACTAAGAAGTTGCAACATCTGGACAGAGCCTTTCATGTGGACAGAAAAGGGGAGTAGCTGATCATAGTGCCCGGGCTGGAGTGTTCAAAACAGCATGGAGGATAGCCAGAGGGGAAGATGTTTTACACATAAATATACTGGGAAAAATAAGCCTCATATTTGTTTACACACTGCCTATTTAGAAATGCCTAATT